AGATTTGCAGGAACCTTCAAGTGAAATAGTGAAGACCACCTTATGACCACCTTAGGCCCACTAGGGGGTGGAAGACAATTAATTCCCTCATTGGGAATTAATCAATATTTAATTGAAGGACCCTCTTCATCTTCTACATCAATTCCATTAGTGGATGACACTCAAAGGTAACTCAGGATGTATTTCAATCCACATGTTCCCTTATCTGAGCTGCCAAATGATTCAAGACAGCTAATTTTTCAAAAAGTAGAAGCTTTAGGCCATGCTAAATTGAAGGCAATTCAACAATTCCTTCAACATATAGCCGAAGATGGTATCAACTGACCTGGTATAGGCTTCACATGGGACACCTATTATTCTACTATAGAAGGAAGACTCAAAAGGTGTGATAGGTGCGAAGGAGAAACCACATATGGAATTCCACTTGAACAATATAACTGTCAGTGTCAACTCATCTATAGCATTTGCAGGGTTTCTCTAGATCTATCCTCACATGAACTGATTCAATTTTTATATGAAGGAGAAATCATCGAGTTAACTGCACTCCTTGATTATGGGTTTCTTTGTCAATTAATTTTTACAAAGATTGAGGGTACTGATCTTATGGGAAGAAAATTTGCCATGGCTATCTTAGAAAGCATGCCTCCCAACTACATCAAGGCATTAATTCAAAGTAAGGCTCCTAAATGGAAGTGTAGACATCTGCTTCCAACACAACACAAGATTATTTTAAGGAGGAGAAGCAATTTATCGTCTCTTTACAGAGACGTTTAGGCTTGGCCATCTATTACTCAGTGCCTCACAAAACAACTCAAACACTAGAGAGCTAGAACAACGGCACACATGCAGGTCATGAGAGATGATTTTACATCTGGATACACCCTCTTTACTAAGGATAATATTCAGAAAATTTATCTTGATTCTGATGTGTTTATTCATAGTCAGAGTCAAAGAGAGATTCCTTTCTTGCCTTAGACAAGCAACACTCAAGTACTACATATTTACTTTGAGGAGTATAAAAATGGTGAAGCTCAGTCAAAATATCGAGGTGCTAGAGTTGATTTGGGTGGCGACCTTCCCAATGACGACCCAAAGATTGGAACAGGCTTTTATGATGATCTTGACTCAGTTGGATGGGAAAATCTCAAAAATCAAATTGAGGGATAATAAATGAATCAGACAAAGGAACATGCATGCCTCACTCCAAAGTGACTGTCATGAGACATGTTCTTGAATAGTTTGTCACTTTTTATCTTTCCAGAAAGATAAAAATGATTAACTATTGTTATCTCTATAAATAAACATAGGATTAGTTAATCATAGTTACTTTTATGTAACTATAGTTACTTTTTCTGAAGTTATTGTTGTAACCTAGGTTAGTTTTTCTTCTATAAATAAAGACTCATGGAAGTAGAAGAGAATATATAGATAGTAAGAGGTAGAAACTAATAGCGAACAGAGAATATATATATATATATATATATATGCACTTCGGTTAGGTCCATGTGTGATGGTACTATCTGGGTGTGTGGTTCGAACCCACATCATTCTTGTAATCTCATTCCCTCCCCCACAGTTACCCAAACTCAAAAACAAGTATATAATATGTTCCTATATTAATTGCGATACTGCTGCTTATCTCACTTATACCAATTTGTATATGTAAGAGTTTCATTAAAAAAATAAATAAAAAAGAAAGGGAGACAGAGGAAACATCCATAACTTCATACTTGCATATGGATGACAAATTAAGTGTGTATTTTTAAGCTTATAATTAACCTCCACAAATAATAATAAAGACCTGGGGTTCCTAGCAAGAGTCTCATCATCATACATATATTATTGTATTTAATTTGGACAATTAAGTTTGGAAATAGAAATGCAGTAACGTAAGCCTTCTTTTTGTAAATACTAACTTGAGAACCAAACAATTAAAACAAAAACATAATTAATAATGTTGTTGTTTAGCCTACATGACCATCAAACTATCAGCAGTAAATTAAGAAAATAATAGACTAGAATATCGCGACTTTATATATGTGTAAGGACACTCCTTACACTTAAGCCTTACTTCACAAACAAAAATGTATTGTATTATAATAATTCGTAAAAAATGATTGATATACTCTTTGATTCAATACATTTTAAAAGACTTACTGGTTCAATTATTAAAATTTCCAAATTTTAGTTTTTTTTGTCTTTAACTCAAATATAAAAACAATAATTTTTTAATAAATATGTTATAAGATAGGTTGACATAAAAAGTATACCAATCATTATCTTAATTCTTCTTCTCTTCCTTACATTGAGAAATTTTGTAGTGTTTTCTTTATGCAAATATCGAAAAAGGGAGGACCCAAATTTAGTTCAAGAAAGTAAGGATGAAGGTGATGCATATCATATCTAAAATTATCATAGATTCGAGCCCATTTATATTATTATCTAAAATGTGAATGAGTCATCTCTGACACTTTTAAAGGTGTAGTTTTGCCCAACGATTATAGTTAGGGCAGTTTGCAAATATTTATCAAATTAATTAGAGAAAACTCCAATTACTTACTTTATTTTCTCTTAAAAAAAAAGACATCAATGCATGCTTATTTTCCATTTATATGGGCCTAAAATGTTTAGGCATAGAGAAGATTGAAATTTGAAACAGATAGATCTTACATATGTTGAATTTGTCATGTATACCGTTGTTTATATAAAAGAATAAAATAAGGAAGCAGAGACATCCTTATGCATGTGTCGAAAGGTACACAAAACATTCTTAAGCACAGAATGCATATATTGGTTTTTGTTCATTGAATATTTATCTTCAAATTTAGTGAAGCAAAAGTAAGAGTAGGAGGATATCTAAGAGACTCATTAGTATACATTACAGTTCAACAAATTGCACAATACACTTACTAACAAATCAAAACTTTTAATTTGAAATTAAAAACATACAAACTTGAAAATGAAATTTAAAGATAAAGTCATACATACAGAATGCAAAAATTAATTAAATCAATTATACTTAATTATATTATATTTTAATAATTAAATCCAGATGAGTGTCAAAAAATATGTTAAATCAAGTATATATCAATTATTTTTCAAGTATATATTCAACAACATTTTCATCTTTTTTTTATCAATGCCCTCACAAATATCCACTAATATTATAGGGTTGGCTTGAAATTTCCTTAGATATACCTTGAAAACTCTGAAGAGGATTCGGAAAAGTAAAAGCTACTGCCTTAGCTTATATCTCCAATAAATAATTGAAACGAGTTGAAAAAAACTTAAATCATAAAATATTTTCTGAAAAAACAAATACATAAAGAGTATGTTTCAATTAACTAAATTAAACTAAATGCTAATGTTGATTGAAAATTAAATTGTAAAAGAGGTTAAATACTTTAGAAAGTAATGAAATAATGATGTAATATTAACCCACAATAATATAAAACATGTTTCTGCATACACGAAGTGCAAAAGAAGGCAAAAAAAAAAAAAAAATCATTAACATTGGTGAAGAAAGTAATGTTTATTAGTAATGCATGTAATTATACTTGTTCTTGATGAAAAGAGAAGGTTCGGGAGCAAAGATATACAATATATATGTGCTGCTTAATTAAATTTGGAGGCCTATCCAAATATATACAATCACCGTTGTGTCAACGGAAATTTCTTGAAAATATTGCTTCCAAGTTGCAAATATTCAAAGGCATAGATACATGCATAAAGGATATCAATCCACACAAAGTGCTTTCCAAAACAATTATAGATACATCCAACCCTACACCGGTTGATTTTTCCATCCAGAAGACATCAAGCAGACCAAGAAACAGTCATGGTATAGTAGCACGCGTGTCTACTTTTCTACTGAGAAAAGTAATAATTAACAGGTATCCAGCTAGCTTGTGATGACTTCAATTGAAAATACGCGAAATGATCTTAATGATGATAAACTCATTTCTTCATCAATAATGTAATTTTTTTTTTATCAACAAAAAATTAATTTTATTAATTTAGAATACAAAGAATACTCATACTCATACACATCATATTCCACTGATACAATAGAGCATAACACAATTATACATCTACTAGTCTGGCACTCAATGCAAGATTACAATTCGAAACATATAAAGAGAACCAACAACCATTAAGTGAATCCTATATCCACAAAAAGGATTTGATCTGTATAAATATTGTAATTGTTCAAATTTTCATCTACTAGGGTTTGTTATTACCACATTAAAAGTATGATTGAGCAGCAATTTTAGCTCTTGCAATCACTCTAAATTAATTACTCTACAGAAACATAAATAACTAAGATGATATTCCAACTTCATCAAACATGAAATTAAATAAAATTTCAACTAGTAGAAGAAAACTAGCTATATATATATACATAAAGTAGAAGAAATGTAGAATTGGATCAAGAACCTTACAGTAGCTTACTTCGCCTTAATAATTTCCTTCTTTGAAAATCTTCCACACACTTTCATGCGATCTTTGATTTTCCTCTTTCTCTTCTTCTTCTTCTTCTTTTTCTTCTTCCATTTCTCCTGATCACCAGTTGATGAGCCACCATAAAAAGGCCAAAACACATACTATATTATTGATGTAAGTGAAACAAAGCTACATTAATAGCTCATTCATAATTCGCTTTCCCACTTCAGTAATTAATATCTAAATTAAGAATATATCCACATAACTGTACAAAGAGCAGTACTACTTAATATAAAACCATCTCTAATATATAATTTATATAAACATAGACAACTATGGATCATGACCTAGTCGAAGCTCCAAGTCTAATTCATCTTCTTCTACCTTCTTATTCTCATTATATCCGTCGGAGGGGCCCATCCCCAAGCTAAGACCACTAGACCACCCCGAAGAGGCATTCGAATTCCATGGATTTGCTGCATAAAAGTCATCCACAGGATGGGCATCATGAGACCTGAAATCGCCAGGTGAAGATGATGGAAAAGGTGCTTGGTAATTCCCAATATGTACCTCTGGAGCTACAACATAATGCGGACCATGGTTCTGAATCGGCTGATATGAATACGATTTCTCATCGACTTTTGATGGAGCTGATGGCTTGCTGGTTTTGGCTCTATCTTTCCTGTGAATATTCATGTGACCACCTAAAGCTTGTGCTGTGGTAAACCCTCTCTTGCAAAAGACGCACTCATATGATCTGCCACCGCTGACTATTTCACCTTGCTCCGATCTATCACTCTCCTCACTTGGACTTTTCGAGCCCTCAAGCATCTGGTGGGATTCCATGGAAACTAAAACTCTCAAGTTTCTCGCCGCCAAGGAAGGAATCGATTGAGGAGTAGGATCAAGGAAGAGAAATTTAAGAGGGTATCATAGAGAGGAAAGGATTAGGAGATGTTTGGACAAAGAGAAAGAAATGGCATAGACATTAGCTATGTGAAGATGTTTTTCAGACAAAAATGAGTTTGATTTTTGCTGGTAAAACTTTTCTGTGTTAGCCGGCTGTTTGGTAGATCAATCTTCACAGACACTGTTAGTATATTAATTTTTCCAAAATGATAGACCTATAATACCTTACAAAAATGGTTTATATAATAGAAATGTTTTTT